ATTGTAATGTGCAGATTTTTAAAATATTAACTAACTGGGGAATACCTTCACACAACATAAAGAATAATTTCAAGCTTCATTTCTGAAAGAAGATGAAATTGTCAAGTGGTTCCAAAGAGACTTAGTGCTGTTTGCTGAAAAAAGTTACTGTTTTATTGCTCCTGTTCTTTGTTCCCTAGTCTGCCACTTTACCTTCTATAGCAATGGCTATGCAAATTTTTCAGTTCAGGAAATTTTTTTTTCCTGCTGGAATTTTACTATTTTAGGAAATGCAAACTTCAAAGATAATGTTGCTGCCATTGTCTGGCAGCCTTAGGAGTTCTGAAATTGGTATTTTAATACAATTTCATAGGAGTTCAGTCTCTTTTTTCTCGTAACTTTTATGCTTTTTTAAATCTTGACTTTTTTTCCTTTCTTGCATCGCAGAGAGGCTCTGCAGTGAACAGGGAGAACTCCTCCAAGAGGACTAAGTAACCAAGAAGAAGATTCATAAAGGCATGCAGTACACACACAGTGGTGCAACCATACATTTAGCAGTTGAAAGACTGAAACATTTCAAGTTAGGCAAGATTAGTATCAATAATTAACCACAAGCTGGGAGACCTTCATCAGTTCACCACATGGAAATGCTGAAAAGCCTGAACAGCTCATTAGGAAAGACTGACTAATAAACCCTTGCTGACCTTGGCTGCTCCTTTGAGTTGCAGCACCACCAGAGAGAGAAGCATAAATGATACAGATTTTCTTCTGTATGTGCATGCTGGAATACAAAAATATAACAGAGAACACTCAAAGCAACCAGCCACCTTATGGATGCATTTCATCTTGTAAATGTTAAAACAAAAATCTCATCCTGAAGAAAAACCTTATTACCAAAGTCAGCATATATCCACATATATTAAAAAGTTTTGGGTTTTATAAGTACTGTGGCATATTAAAGCTTTCAACACTATTAATCATTGGACTCCATATGCTAATAGCAGATTTCAAAACATAGTGACTTTTGACAAATCATGATATCCCTAGCCCATGCAAGAATTCACGTATGCACAAACAAAACTGTGGGGGAAAAAATTCTTTTTCTCCAGAAAGGAATAATAAAAATCCTTAAGAGCATCCAGGTCAGATTTCTTTCAATTTAATCTGCTCAAAAGTATTCCAGTTTGTTATAATAGTCTACCTATAGAAAAGATTTAGACAAACTAAAATAGTGTAAGATGTTTTCATTTGGTGTTAAAACATCCAATTTGTGATGTATGTTCTGAAGCCGAAATTAAATTTTACTTTGACATCTAAGTAAAAGACATTTTAAATTGCCAAAATAAAACTGATATCACCCAATTCTATAAAGAGGTATTTTGATAAGTTTTCTGGCATACAAGAGCTTTCAACACTATTCACCATTGCCTCCCACAGCTGAATTAAAAATTCCAGAATGTTGCAGAGAGAAGCAGCACCTTTTGTTGTACTCATGTCATAATTAAAGAGCAATGGAAGCATTCATAAATGGAAGCATACTGACCACAAGGAAAAAACAAATGGGAAAGTGAAAAGACAAAGAGACAAGAAAGAACTTAGGAAGTATTAGTTAGACATGAAAAAACAGATTTGTAAAAGAATGAAATGGTCATAATAGAGCTAGAGTTTTATTACTTAATAAAACCCTAAATGTTTTTATGCCTTTGTGGTCTCACAACAAAATAAAAATAAATTATCTTTAAATTATCAGATAATTTTGACTGGTGCTATGACTTTTCCTTTCACATTCCTTTTTCTTCCACATTTTTCAATGTTTTCTGGGGCACTTTGAGGCACTGGTCTTTAACCTCAATTTAGGATATGAAATAGTTTTCAAAGTTAAGGAAGTTCTGTGAAAAGGAAATTACTTTCTACCCACTTCTGCATTTCAGCTCTTAGAACCTTCACAAAAAAAGCAAAAATGCAAACATTACCATGGAGGCCACAAGGGTCACTATGAACACCTCATGATACATTCTTCCCTAAATGAGGCCAGCTTGCTCTTTCGTAATGCCACGGGCAGCTTTATACCAAGGGCATTGCCATTCACTATTTCTTGAGCTTCAGTAAGATATTCATAACTGTGATAGATGCAACTATACAGGTACTTCTTTCTAAAATTTGCCATGAGATATTTTAAGAGATGCAAAACCAGGGTTTTATTATATTATATTTAATGAAATTTTTAATATTTATTTATGAATAATTTATAGCTAGCTATAGCTAATTTTTTATCAAATACCTATTAATATTTCTTACACTATATTATATGACATGCATTATGTAATACTATTATGTAATAGAAATACATGAAGATACTAATATTCTCAGTTTGGAAATATATAAAAGATCTAGTGAGCTGGTGGAAGCCTAACAATCTGTGTTGGAGAAAAACATCCATGCATAGAGTACAGGGTTACAGGACAGCTAAGGACTTTCCTTCCATCTTCAAAAACACCCTTAAACTCCCACATAGCTAAAGATGGAGGGACATTTGGTAGGTTTGTTCTGAAGGCAACATGGAGACATTAGGGAAAAAGTATGCTTGAATGTATGCTTGAATTTTTACTAATTTGATCAATTTAACTTACAGGAAAAAAAAGCACGGCGCACCCTTGTGCAGCTATGTATTGGGTTAAATATTAAGCACTGCAGACAGAATTTTGTCTTCAAGTAAATTCCTTTCTTTCAGAAGTCAGGAGTCCATTTACATTATTTTGATTTATGTTGTTGTCATCTACTTAGTTGGTTGTTAGATACTCAAGATTTGGTTCTGCTGGACAAATACTATGAAGGTGTTGACAGCTACAACTTATTGATTGAGCAACTTCAATTTAGTTTCTTAATGTGCAAGATAATTTCTGACCTAAAACTAAAACAGATACACAAACAGTGGGCAGGATGTCACCAGACTCAGTTTAGAAGGAAGTATGAAACAAGAACACGTTTTTTGGGAACTTCTTCTGAAAGACTCAGCTGACATCTAGTGGCAAGAGCAGGGAAAGCAAAGCACTTAACAGCACAGAACAGAAATCGTTCCGTGTCTTTAAACTATATTATTCAGTATTTTGTTAACATTAAGTGAAAAATTCAAGAAATCCTTTGAATGCAGCAATAGCATCACCCATTTTAGACATTACTTTCATGTGGATGATTCAGTTGAATTATATACATTAATTAACCCTTCAAGAGTTAAGTGTTACGCAGATTGTCATGCAAGAAGAGATGGTGCAGATTCATAAGTAATTGACTTGGTGTAATACATGTTATAATCTTTATAAGTATACACATGACAAAAACTGAATTCAAGTGATATCAAAAAAAACGAACAAAGCTTCAAGTTTTGGTGATAACATAAAGATGGCAAAATGAAATACAGTACAGTCATATGCCCTCCCTACCCAGTGATTGTTGTGCATCTTTCAAGACTGCTGCATTCACAGAAACCTCAGTCTCATAGATTCAGCACCAACCCCCAGAAACTAGTGGTGTGGGTAAAGCCCTGGCTGCACTCTGGGTATTCTGTATAAAGTTTATAGGAAATTAACACAGTGATAACAAATATTGAAGAATTAAAAACAATCTGGAATTCCTGTTCACATACTCAAGAAAAATACCCTACAATAAGAAACAGAACAAAAGTACTTTCTAATGCTAAAGAATAAAAGTATCACTCACTTGTGAGCCAATATATACAGGTTTCAAGGAACAGAACCTAGATAATGTTGCTTACTTTCACTTTCAGAGGACAATTCAGTAATATTTTGAGAACTTTCCCATATATATAACTTCCATAATTATTAACATTTCTCTAGGCCTTTTAAGAATAACAAAGACCAAGGATCTACTCCTAACCTTTTGCAGAGAATGTATGATAATCAAACCTTCTTCATAAACACCTCATAAGGAGTTTGGATCCATTTGCAAAAGAGCTGCTAAAAGAAATTCCTGTCTGTAGGTTCCTTCAGTGCATAGCATAAAATCAGATTTAACCCAAGAATTTCCCATAGTTGGGATACTTACCATCATATTTTTCTGTTATACCATTAAAGAATAAAATGCAACAAAGTATAACATTAAACCATGACACCATTTTATTTCCCCATTCTATGTTCCCCCTGAAATTTTATAACGTAAATTTCAATACGTTGCATTATACAATGTGATCTGCCTAATGACACAGTTAATGTATCAATGGACTGGATTATCAGAATTCCCGTGCTAGTAAATCTGTTTATTTTCCATTCTATTTGCTTTAATGATGATGAAGGAAATACTGAATGTTTTGTAATTGATGACCACTAATGATTTGGCATAGGAACCTGTATTAGAACACAGTGCAGCTATACTTAAGAATATATCATAACTGGTGAGAAAAGGAAGATGCTGGTAATTTTAACTAGGGGTGACCACCAAATTCAGTTATACTGCCATTTAAATTCCTGTTTTTATGATAAAAACACTCTATTGTAATATTTCACTTTACTTAACACAGCCAAGGGAAAGTGAGTTCTAATACTAAACTGTGTTATTTCTGATTTTGATAACTAGTTGGTCAAGTTTACACTTTAAAAGAGCAGAAATACAGAGTGCTCAATACTAAACTTCAGAAAGTCTCACACATGCTTATTTTCCTGTTAAAATTACAGAAAATTGCCTCTACAGAAGTATGTTTCACTGAGAAAGAGTAAGCAGTTAAACACCAGTGCCAATACTGCACTGCTGTGTTAGGAGGAAGAATTTAACAGAACAACAATAAGGAGAACTACAAAGAGGAAACAAATAAAACTGCTTTCAGACATCATTTATGAGTGCAGGTATAGATTTTAACAAAATTAATTTTAGCTGAGCTGGCAGTCAACTGAAAACAACTTCTAGAAAGAAAGGATTCAATTCTTAACATTTGATAGAAAGCGTATATTTGCACCACTTAAATATGTAAAATGCACTAGACAGGGAAATATATAATTACAAAACTATACCTTTAATGTTTCAATTTCTTCTTTGTGTTCCCTCTTTAAATGCAGAATGGCAGCTTGGTACTCTGTAGAAATAAAAAAAGTAGATTGCCTTAGAGTCAGAAAACAATGTGCCATCTTCAGCATAGAATATTTCATACAACACCACTGGGTCCAGAATGCAGGTGTAGGCTCTCAAATAAATGACCTTTTGTGGTGGTGATGGAAAAGAAAATCTGAACACAGTAATTAGCATTTTTTTCTAAGACCACATGACCAGATTTTCCATGGTGTTTCTGACAGAAGAGGACAAAGCAGAGGTCTTCCATGCTAAGAAGGGAAAATGGGGGAAAAAACATGACAGACTGAAATAACAAAAGGAAACTATAGTTTTGCCTTATTTTGCAAATAAATGTGGAACTGATAGGATATTATGACATGCACATGCATGCATACACACACCCTCACCTGAATTCTAAAACAACATGCATCAAGTACAGTGATTTAAATGGACAAACATACAATCACTATACACAGTCAAACTGGGTAAAATAGCAATCACAAATACAAATGAAGACCTTAGAAGGTTCCAAGCAGTGAGAAACAAAGATTCTTTCTCTTAATTCTATCATATGAAGAATAATCACAGAGTTTAAGTACAGAATACTGTGAATGACATACAGGATAGCTCTGCCATTTAGCAAGAATACAATAAAATCCAAAGGCATGAAACTGAAAGCCAGAGAAATTTAAAGCAGCAGTGAAAAAAATGAGGAGGCCAGGCATTGATCATGCAGGTTTAGTGATGGCATAGATTTATGAAACCTCTAGGACCACTAATACTATGGTTCCCCTTAATCCATACCATGCCTGCATTTGGCCAGATGAAGAAACAGAAACCCCTTCAAAACACCGGTGTAAGGCTTTAAGAGACCTTAAGAGAGTCTTTGGTAAGACACTGGCCCAGAACCTACAGACCTCCTAAACAAGTGACTGGAGCTTGTTGCTAGATGACCAAAGTCCCACTTCCATCTGCTTTCAAATCAAAATTTATTCAAAAGCGTGTTTCCAGTTTTCTGGCTTGGCTTCTGCCTCCTCAACTAAATCCTAACTTAAAAAAGGTTTGAAAATAGGCCAAAGAATTTAAATTTTATTGTCAATGGTCTCTAAGACTAAGGGTCTGCATGACCCATTCAACAGAAGAACTAACAAAATAGCATTACAGTATCAAAGTATGGACCAAAGTACCAGATAAATAAAACATTTCAGTGCTTATCTGCTCTTTATTTTTTTTTCCTTTTTCTCTTCAGAGCACATGAAGAAAAGAGGAAAGAAAAGGTAACTTGATCATCACCATGAATTCTACATGACATGGAAGCTTTTAATGTAAAGGTTTCATGTCATGTATACATGGATTTTTTCCAAACACAGGTGAAATTATAATCAAGCAGCTGAACTGATACATAAAATCAAAAGGAAAGGGGATCAATATTTTATACAGTGTAAAATAAAAACCTTGGTGATTCCAGCTAGCTATAGTATCTATCTAAACTTCTCCTTGCCCTCTAACAGGTCTCTACTTAAGAGCTTTCAGGCATAAGAGAATTGCCTGACTGCTCTGCTGGAATCACAACTGGTTAGGTCTACAAACTTTTAGATTTTCTGCTGTTAATTCCTTTGACTGGTTGATATTACCTATGGATACAGGCTCTGCATATCCATTCACCTAAACAGAATATAAAACAATTGCCTCAGGTCCCCAGAGAAAGTTGTGACCCTTCTGGCACCTCAGCTGCCTTAAGCACTCAGTGTGCAGGGCATGAACCTTATGAATGTCCTAACTTGAAGGTTAGCTCTTTAGTGTCACATGATAACTGAAGCAAATAACAGGCTTTGAAAATGCTCCTAACAATCAGTTCTTAGTTCAGCTAATAGAAGGATACAGATTCATCTTAACAAAAGATCTACTTTCTATGTGGAATTGCCCAATGATTAAAATTCTTTGAGATTTGGGTAAGAGAGTCATAATTCACCTATGATGACACAGACCTGCACTAGCACCAGAAGCAGACTTTTCACCTTATCTACCCATTCCCAACCCTTTGTTGCTTATTTTTTTATCTTGGCACAAATGTTTACGCAATTAGAGAATGATGGAAGAACCCCTATGAATGAAATCTAACATAGCACAGGAATTTAATTTTTTTTAACAACAATTAAGTATATGTAATTGTTGGCACGTGTTTTTCATTGCTTCTAGCTGAAAGTTCTGAAACAAGTTCTAGAGATTGTTTTGTTTAAACTTTGTTCCAAAGCAGAAGACAGAGAGTAGCAATTCTTTTACCATTTTGTTATTCCTTAAAAATATGCTTAGAAAGTACTAAGCTATGAGAATTAATAATAAAAACTATTTTTTTAAAACACTGCTATTTCATAAAAGCAAGTGCATCATAAACTGATATACTGTAACAGATTTTATGGATTGTTTACAATGATATAAACTGACATTCAACAGCATAAGTTTCTAATTTTATTATTTTTAACTAGAAGAAACTATCTATTGGATAGAAGCTGACACCCAGCAAAATACTTTAATTCTCAAGCAAATGTTTATTTTTCTGTACAAAGTATTATAATGCAAATCACATCACAATTATATTGCCTTGCATAATATAAAGTAACTCATGACCATTCCTTTTCTATGTTTTGTGAGGTCACCTTAATTTAGTACACAGATAGTTAACATTTTAAGAAAACAACCTGTATACAGAGATGGCAATCAGAATCATTAAAACGTTGAAGAATTTGACTAGAAAAAAATCATTTCATTCATGCAATTCCAAAAATCAGTTCCTTAACATACTGGAAACAGAATAATGAAGTTTAACTACGCAGTGGTGTTGGAATGCTGCTTAGGGTGGTAAAAATCAAAACAGCAAAGTAAACAATAACGACATTTTAACAGAAGGAACTATAGGAGAAACAAAATATAAGTCAGGCTTTATAAGCTACTTAATTCTTAAATTCCATTTAACTAAAAAAAATTAATGTAGACTACACATAAAATCCAGAAATACCAACGTATCACTGGATGATTTATCTAGGTTAAAAATTAACAATGCCAGAGTTGAAGAAATCTGATATGGCTCTGTAGCCAGCCTGATTCTCACATAACCACTGGAACTCATTTGGCCTTGTTAGCCAAGACACATGAACACCTGAGGGCAGGTCTCAGAGCTAGCCCAGACACAAGGCTGCAGCTGAACTGCACCTCCCACTTCCTGGTGCTGCCCTACCTTAGGGACCTTCCAGACTGACAGGGAGAAAAGCTTCTAATCACAAACCACAGAATGGCTGAGGCTGGAAGGGACCTCTGGTCTGCAACCCCACCTCTCCCAGAGCTGGCTGCCTAGGACCATGTCCAAATAGCTTTTAAATTCTTCCAGGAATCTTGACCCTCCTCATCCTCTCTGGGCACCCTGTGCTAGTTTCTCAGTCACCTTCAGAGTGAGAAATCATTTCCTGATGTTTAGTCAGACCTTTCTGTGTTTCAATGTGTGCTCACACTGATCCTGATATCATGCACCACCCAGCTATCTCATTTTTACACCCTACATTATAGGTCCAAGCTGACCCTCGTGTCACAAGATGACTCTTTACCTAGTTTGTGCAATGTCAGGGGGGCTTGCATTTTCATAAAATCAAAGAATCATTAAGGTTGGAAAAGACCTCCAAGATCAAGTCCAACCTTTGAGCAAGTATCTCCATGACCATCAAACCATATCAAGAAGTGACACATCTACTTATTTTTTGAATACTTCCAGGGGTGGTGACCTGTTTCAGTGCTTAACCACACCTTCCTAATACCCAAACTGAACCTCCCCTGGTGCAACTTGAGGCCATTTCACCTTATCCTAGCACCAGTTGACTGGGAGAAGAAACCAACCCCTGGCTACTACCTTCTTGCAGATAATGAGCAATAGGTCTCCCTTGAGCCTTCTTTTCCCCAGAACAAACAACCCAACCTCAGCTACACTGGCTGCTTCTCATAGGATTTACATTCCAGATCCTTCATCAGTTTTGCTGCCCTGGACATGCTCAAACACCTCAATGTCAATTTGCTGAAGCTTTAAATTCTTTTATTATGACACATAACAGAAGGCTGATTGTACAAATATCCTGTTGTACTTGCCCGGTCTCCAATGTGCCTGCAAGAAGACAGTGGCTGTAGAGCATAAATTTATCTTCCCCTTAAGCAGATATTACTCCTAAGGACTTTTGAGACAAATCAGATAAAAATCAGATTGCAAGTGCTAAATGCACCAATCCTAAAAAATTACCACATGCAAATTAGGATTTTGTTACTGAGAAAATAATTTTAAAAGTCACTCATTTACAAAGGGCAATCAAGCAAAAAAATAAACAATCCCATTGCACAGATTCCACTCCAAACAGCTTGGAGTCTCAGTTTTTATTTACTACTTCTAATTTACTACTTTTTCCTTTGTTTTCAGAGCATGCCATCCCAAGAAAAATGTAATAGATCATGTAAGCTGTTGCCCACTTGGACATATTCTTGATTTTCTTTATTTTTGTAACCTGATGCTACCTGCAATCAATAATTATAACCCACTGAAGCTAAAGCAAACTTTCATAAAACTGATCATTTTTTCTAAGATAGTGAGATGAAGCAGAAACACATTAACAAGCCTTAAACAAATATTTGTTACATTTGCTGACAGCTAGCAACATAATATCATGTCATTGTAAAATGCTTCACTAAAACGTTTTTGAAGGTAATCTGAAAGTTGGCAAAGTACATAGGAAAATGTATAGAGACCTCAGTGATGACTAAAGATATATAGTGACATGAAAATGCAAAATTTCCTTTTTCTATGTTGTTGTTGGAAAAATAAATCAATTATTCATTGTAAAAAAAATAATCTATTTCCATTTACTTGCATGTTTTGCCATAGCCAGCAGATAACATTCTGATGAGAGAATGCTAAATTTGCATTCAGGTCTTCCCTACTTCTACTAACTTTGCATCAGCTGCAAATTCTCAAGTCTTACTTTTCCAGTTCAA